CCTTCCTCTCGGAACTCAATTAAAAATATTTTTAAAAGGGAACAGGTGACAGGGGGCTGGAAATGGCCGCCCCGGCACTACTGGCTCTCACCACTGCCCCCTGGCTCTGGGGCTGTGGCACGGCTAGGAGAGGAGGTTCTGAAGCAACCCTGGCATGGCCCTGGGTCCGAGCGCCTGGACAGTGCCGCCCAACCACACCCGGGCCTGCTCCTAGACCCCGCGGGTGAGCAGCCCTCCAGGGCCTGGGCCCGCGCGGCGCGGCGAAGGAAGCAGATTGAGGAGTCAGGAGAGCAGCGGAGCGACGGGCAGCAGGAGGTCCTGAAAGAGGAAGCAGCGAGTCTCAGTTCTGCTCCTGAGGACGGGAAATACCCTCGGCTCCCCCGCCCTGGCAGCTGTCTGCTCCTTACCCGGCTCTGTGCCCCTCCCTCCCCGTGTCCCCAGGCCGCTGCGTCCCGAGCACTCCCAGGGCCCGGAGCGGCTGCCTGGGCGCAGACACAGGCCCATCCCGCGGAGCAGGGGTGAGGGCTCACTGAGGCTGGACACGCCGCCCGCGCCCGGGAGAAGGAGCGGGACCAGCCGCAGGGGGAAATCCAAGAAACGGTGCAAAGCGGCCCATCTCCCCCGCCCCCCGGCCTTTGAGGAAGGGGGGTGGAAGCCCACGGGCTCTGCCCCACCCCCTCCTCCTCGGGGTAGGGGGAGATGGGGCCCGGGCGCTGGGAGAAACAAGGCCCCTCCCCATGCAACCTTCTGGAAACCAATGCAAGAAGGAAGCCGGGCCTCGGGACAGAGGGGGCAGGAGGACAGAGGCCGGGACCTCCTCCTCCCCCGCCCTGTCCTGGGCCCTGCGTGTGCGGGCCTCTCCCTGGGTGTGGGCAGTGAGGTTGTGGCTGCAGGTTCTGACCGCGGCTTCGTCAGGGCGGCCTGCACTGCTCCCCTCTGCCCAGGAGCTCACTCCCCTGACTGAGCAACTCGGCATGAGAAAGAGCCTACTACATGCAGGCTCAGTCTCAGGTCCCAGGGAGAAGGGCTGACGCATAGGCCAGTGCCCTGCTGCCCCCCACCTTGCTGGTCTTCCATCTCCCTGCGTTGTCTGCTTCTCTGTCTAGCTGGGGTCCTCTCCCTACGCCTGCCCTGTCTGCATGGCCCTCCTTGCCCGGGGCACGAGAACCAGGAGGCAGCTCTGCTCACGCTCACCCACCCTGAAAGGAGCCTGAAGACAGGAGCATGTTCCGGACTGTTCTCAGCACTCCCCACAAAACTGGCTGGTCAATAGCAGGGAAAGCAGACACAGGTGGTGGACAGGATGTGGGAGCAGGTACAGGCGGTGGGCAGGGTGTGGGATCAGGTACAGGCCGTGGGCAGGGTGTGGGAGCAGGTACAGGCGGTGGGCAGGGTGTGGGAGCAGGCCTGGGCGGTGGGCAGGGTGTGGGAGCAGGTACAGGCAGTGGGCAGGGTGTGGGAGCAGGAACAGGCAGTGGGCAGAGTGTGGGAGCAGGCCTGGGCGGTGGGCAGGGTGTGGAAGCAGGTACAGGCGGTGGGCAGGGTGTGGAAGCAGACACAGGCAGTGGGCAGGGTGTGGGAGCAGGCCCGGGCGGTGGGCAGGGTGTGGGAGCAGGTACAGGCAGTGGGCAGGGTGTGGGAGCAGGAACAGGCGGTGGGCAGGGTGTGGGAGCAGGTACAGGCGGTGGGCAGGGTGTGGGATCAGGAACAGGCGGTGGGCAGGGTGTGGGAGCAGGCCCGGGCGGTGGGCAGGGTGTGGGAGCAGGTACGGGCGGTGGGCAGGGTGTGGGAGCAGGTACGGGCGGTGGGCAGGGTGTGGGAGCAGGCCCGGGCGGTGGGCAGGGTGTGGGAGCAGGTACAGGCAGTGGGCAGGGTGTGGGAGCAGGAACAGGCGGTGGGCAGAGTGTGGGAGCAGGCCCGGGCGGTGGGCAGGGTGTGGAAGCAGGCACAGGCGGTGGGCAGGGTGTGGGAGCAGACACAGGCAGTGGGCAGGGTGTGGGAGCAGGCCCGGGCGGTGGGCAGGGTGTGGGAGCAGGCCCGGGCGGTGGGCAGGGTGTGGGAGCAGACACAGGCAGTGGGCAGGGTGTGGGAGCAGGCCTGGGCGGTGGGCAGGGTGTGGGAGCAGGTACGGGCGGTGGGCAGGGTGTGGGAGCAGGCCCGGGCGGTGGGCAGGGTGTGGGAGCAGGTACAGGCAGTGGGCAGGGTGTGGGAGCAGGAACAGGCAGTGGGCAGAGTGTGGGAGCAGGCCCGGGCGGTGGGCAGGGTGTGGAAGCAGGTACAGGCGGTGGGCAGGGTGTGGAAGCAGACACAGGCAGTGGGCAGGGTGTGGGAGCAGGCCCGGGCGGTGGGCAGGGTGTGGGAGCAGGTACAGGCAGTGGGCAGGGTGTGGGAGCAGGAACAGGCGGTGGGCAGGGTGTGGGAGCAGGTACGGGCGGTGGGCAGGGTGTGGGAGCAGACACAGGCAGTGGGCAGGGTGTGGGAGCAGGCCCGGGCGGTGGGCAGGGTGTGGGAGCAGGTACAGGCGGTGGGCAGGGTGTGGGAGCAGGTACAGGCGGTGGGCAGGGTGTGGGATCAGGTACAGGCAGTGGGCAGGGTGTGGGAGCAGGTACAGGCGGTGGGCAGGGTGTGGGAGCAGGTACAGGCGGTGGGCAGGGTGTGGGATCAGGTACAGGCGGTGGGCAGGGTGTGGGAGCAGGTACAGGCGGTGGGCAGGGTGTGGGATCAGGAACAGGCGGTGGGCAGGGTGTGGGAGCAGGTACAGGCGGTGGGCAGGGTGTGGGATCAGGTACAGGCGGTGGGCAGGGTGTGGGAGCAGGTACAGGCGGTGGGCAGGGTGTGGGATCAGGAACAGGCGGTGGGCAGGGTGTGGGAGCAGGTACAGGCGGTGGGCAGGGTGTAGGATCAGGTACAGGCGGTGGGCAGGGTGTGGGAGCAGGTACAGGCAGTGGGCAGGGTGTGGGATCAGGAACAGGCGGTGGGCAGGGTGTGGGAGCAGACACAGGCGGTGGGTAGGGTGTGGGATCAGGCACGGGCGGTGGGCAGGGTGTGGGAGCAGGTCCGGGTGGTGGGCAGGGTGTGGGAGCAGGTACGGGCGGTGGGCAGGGTGTGGGATCAGGCACGGGCGGTGGGCAGGGTGTGGGAGCAGGTACAGGCGGTGGGCAGGGTGTGGGAGCAGGTACAGGCGGTGGGCAGGGTGTGGGATCAGGCCCGGGCGGTGGGCAGGGTGTGGGATCAGGCCCGGGCGGTGGGCAGGGTGTGGGAGCAGGTACAGGCGGTGGGCAGGGTGTGGGAGCAGGTACAGGCGGTGGGCCGGGTGTGGGAGCAGGTACAGGCAGTGGGCAGGGTCGGGAGCAGGTACAGGCGGTGGGCAGGGTGTGGGATCAGGTACAGGAGGTGGGCAGGGTGTGGGAGCAGGTACAGGAGGTGGGCAGGGTGTGGGAGCAGGTACAGGCGGTGGGCAGGGTCGGGAGCAGGTACAGGCAGTGGGCAGGGTCGGGAGCAGGTACAGGAGGTGGGCAGGGTCGGGAGCAGGTACAGGCGGTGGCAGGGTGTGGGAGCAGGTACGGGCGGTGGGCAGGGTGTGGGAGCAGGTACAGGCGGTGGGCAGGGTGTGGGAGCAGGCCCAGGCGGTGGGCCGGGTGTGGGATCAGGTACAGGCGGTGGGCAGGGTGTGGGAGCAGGTACAGGCGGTGGGCAGGGTGTGGGAGCAGGTACAGGCGGTGGGCAGGGTGTGGGAGCAGGTACAGGCGGTGGGCAGGGTGTGGGAGCAGGTACAGGCGGTGGGCAGGATGTGGGATCACCTACAATCCACGTGACTGTCTGTGGAGGCAGGACGGGTTTCCAGCCGCTGGTGCTGGCCTGCAGAGGGCAGTGATTGGGGCACCAGGGTGCGCCCCCCTGGGGTCTGCGCGGGTGGGGCAGGGGAGGGCGTGGCCTCCTGGATGCCCCGCCTCCTCCCGCAGGCACAGGGCCCCCTGGAAGCAGGCCTTCCTCTGGGGAGCGACCATGTCCTCTCCCCACGCCAGGATGTCCTCACTAAGTCCCATCGCCGGGCCCGCCTTGCCCGGGGCACGCAGAACCAGGAGGCAGCTCTGCCCACGCCCGCCCACCCCGACAGGAGCTGAAGACAGGAGCATGTTCCGGACTGTTCTCGGTACTCCCCCAAAACCATCTGGAGGTGCTGCGGCTGGTCGGTAGTTCCTGTAAGAAACCACTGCTGCCCTGTGGACTCTGCCCCGGGCCTGGCTCTCCCGGACCCCAGGCCACAGGGGCAGTGCCCAGGGAAGGCGCTGTTGTCCACGATGGGGGTCAGGCCCGGCTCAGAGCCCACGGACCGAGGGGCCAGCTGCCCACGAATGGGCCCAGGCTCCTGAGCTTGGGAAGTCCCGGAGGAAGTGCTAGAAAGCTGCTTCCTGGACAGGGCGCCTGGGACCCAGCGCCTCAGCAAAGGGGAGACAGAGCTCTGTTCTGGAAGCTTCCATCCCATGAGACACAGACACTCCTCACGCCCAGCAGGGGCTCAGCTGGCTGAGTGCTGGCCTGAGACGCAGGAGGCTGCTGGCTGGACCCCCGGTCAGGCCGCATGCCCGCGGTTGGGAGTTCAGTCCCAGAAGGGGGTGCGCAGGAGGCAGCCGATCCATGTTTTTCTTTCACTGATGTTTCTATCTCTCTCATCCCCTCTCCCTTCCTCTCTGATATCAATTAAAAAAACGTGTTTAAAAAATAAGACAAAGTAAAAAAGACATCGCACCTCCCGGGACAGAAGGGCAGGACAGGGGCTGGGGGCTCAGGGGGCGGGAGAGGGGAGAGCCTGGCCGAGCCCGGTCTCTGAGGTCACCCCGCAGTGCCCGCTCCCTGACGGCGGCGAGTGACGCGGTCCCGGGTTCCCCGCGGTCCCGATGCCCGGTGTGGGTGCTGGACTTCTGGGAGCCGTGCTGGGACCTCGGACCCGCTCAGCGCTCCCCCGGCGCCCACTCACGGGGGCTCGGCCGGGGCTGCGGTCAGACGAGCCGGCTGGAGAAGTGCAGGCGGCCGTCGTCCGGGCCGCGGAGGCGGCCGCTGATGGTGAAGGGGGGGCCCATCTCCAGCTCCTTCAGGTGCCTGAGCGAGAGGGAAGCCGGGCCGGGCTGAGAGCCAGCGGATGGAGCCGCTGCCCCCTGCCCCCGGGAGCGCCCTCCCTCAGACAGAGGCCGCCCTGGGCGGAGGGACCAGGGCTCAGCCCAAGGGGAGCCCTGACTCCTGCCCCTGAACCCCGAATGTCTTCCTCTGCTCCCCCCTTTCAGCACCACGTGCTGCCTGAGGCTGCGCTGTGGTCAGACCTGAAGGCAGACCCTGCACCGGCACAGCAGGCCTCCTGCAGAGGGAGGCCGGGTGGCGGGGCAGGCCGCACGAGGGGGGTAGGGGGAAGGAGGGCGGGCGGGGGGGGGGATGCTAAGAGGATCCCTGCGGCCAGGCTCCTGCATGGGCTTGTCCATGTTCAAGTTCTTAGCCATGGGATGTTCTAAGAGGACCCTGGCTCCTTCCTCTTCTCCTGTAGGCCTGGGGGACAGGGAGGGGGCAGGAGGGGGAGCCACAAGTTTGGGCGCCCCTGAGGTTCTTTCTCCAGCACATTCCCCTCCCCTCCCCGCCCACCTGCCCTGGTCTACTCACCGGATCTGGTACAAGTTGAAGACGAAGCTAGGTCCTGGGAAGACAGCGCAGAGAGAGAGGTCAGTGCGCAGGGGCCGCTATCGCCTCGGGCAACCCTGTCCCTCACCCTGCCCCTCACCCTGCCCAGTGGAGGGGGGAGCGTGGGCTGCCCTGGGCCCTCTCCCTGCGGGGGGGGGGGGGGGGAGGAGGGAGGGAGAGCGTGGGGCTGCTCTGGGCCTCAGGAGGGCAGCTTCCTGCAGCTTCTGCCTCCTGCCCCCTGCCCCATCTTCGCAAACTGAATCTTCAACTTTTGGGGGACAGATCTGCCACTGGGGGTCCCTCTGCTAAGGGTGCTGATTACCGCGGGAGGGAGGGAAGCAGTCCTAGCTCGGAGCCCCAAAGAGCAGACTTGGCTTTAGTCCAGACCCCCCCCACTGTCCTGACTGTGCCCACACATCCTCATCTATAAACCAGAGACCAAGAATGTCGTCCCTGCATGGAATTTTAAAAGAAAGCATCTTGGGGAAGGTGCACTGGCGCATAGTAGGTGTTCAGTACACATCGTGGGACCGGGAGTATTCTCTCCCTCCCGCAGCCCCCGTGCCCCCCCCCCCCCCCCCCGCTCTCCGGGTCCGCGGGAAGGCGGGCATGTCCTGGTGGGAGTGTCACACCCCATCTCAGGAGGCTCAGGGGCAGCCTCGGGACCCACACAGGCCGGGGACACACCCTGAGGCCCTGCGAGGGGGGAGCGGGCTGCTCCTGGGAGAGGAGCCCCCACACCCCAGCCCCTCCCCCACCCAGGGCTCAGCGGCCCACTCAGGCCTCCAACCACCCCGGCCACCACAGGAAGCACTTTGCATGGCCCCGCCCGCTCCCAGCTGCTGCGGGGGCGGCACTCACCCTCCCAGCAGTACCCGCGCTGGTACCACTTGGCCAGGCTGTAGCCCAGGATGGACATGAGCAGCAGCGAGAGCCCCACGCCCAGGATCAGGCCCAGGGTGCTGATGGCATCCTCACCTGCAGGGACAGAGCACCTCACCCAGCGCCCGGCTCCCACCCACCTCACCCACCCCTCACCCAGCCTCCGCCCAGCCCTCACACCTCACCAGCCCCCACCCAGCTCCCACCCACCTCACCCACCCCTCACCCAGCCCCCACCCAGCCCTCACACCTCACCAGCCTTCACCCAGCACCCACCCAGCCTTCCCCCAGCCCCAACCCAGCCCCCATCCAGCCCCCACCCAGCCCTCACATTGGCTGCAGCCAGTACCACAGCCACTGCCATCGAAATCAGTCCCCTGGGAACTGTGATCTGAGCCAACAGTTTTGCTGAGTCATACTAGGATGTGAATGTCAGATACCTGATTTATTTTATTTATTTATATTTGTTAATCCTCACCTGAGATTATTTTTCCCCCCGAGAGAGTGGAAGAGAGGAAGAGAGACAGAGAGAAACATTAATGTGAGAGACACATGGGTTGGTTGCCTCCTGCATGTACTCTGACCAGGGCCAGAGACCCTGCAACCCAGGTGTTGCCCTTGACTGGAATTGAACCCGGGACCCTTCAGTCCGAGGGCCGACGCTCTATCCATGAGCCACACTGCCGGGCAGACACCTGGCTCTGAGTGTTGGCTTACATATCCGGGCCGGCGTCCCGGCACAGAAGCAGCTGGGAGCTGAGAGGCCTGCCCAAGGCCGGGCACCACCCGCCCGGAAGGCAGTGCTGCGGGGGCGGAGGGGAGGGTGTCCGGGGCTCAGCAGCCGAGGCCTCTGGTCAGGATGGCAGTCTGGGGGCCACAAGCCGAGGCTGCAGGTCCTGGTTCCTCCCGCCGAGCCCTCCACGTGCCCGGGGAGGGCAGAACCATGGCTCTGTGCTGCTTACACTCATCCTTCCTCCCTCTGTGGTCTGGCCTCTGGCTGAATGTGTGTAAATTTGTGTTATTGGTAAAGCCAAACGGAGAGGGAGGGAGGGAGGGAGGGAGGGAGGGAGGGAGGGAGAGAGAGAGAGAGAGAGAGAGAGAGAGAGGAGAGGGGGGGAGAGAGAGAGAGAGAGAGAGAGAGAGAGAGAGAGAGGAGAGGGGGGGAGAGAGAGAGAGAGAGAGAGAGAGAGAGAGAGAGAGAGAGGAAAGGGGGAGAGAGAGAGAGCGAGCGAGAGAGAGAATATCAGTCCTCAGGAGACGCGATGGGCTCGCAGAAGCAGGAGGGAGAGGCTGTGGAGAAGCTGGCGAGGCCTCCCAGGGAGACAGACCGTGGGAAGGAAGAGGTCAGCCCGCCCGCAGACCACAGGCCAGAGTGGGGGGGGGGGTCGTCGTGCCCCAGGCTGGTGACCCCGATGGGGCGCTCCAGGGTGTTGGGAGAGCCCAGAGGGTGTGGCTCTGCCCCCCCCCCCCCCGCCATCACACACACACACACACACACACACACACACACGCACACACACAAGCTCAGTCCACTGTGTGAAGTGCGGGCCCAGCAAAGTCTCCCCTCCTGTACTTCCACGCTCTCCTGAGAAACACCCCCCAGGAGCGGGTGCGGAGGGAGGCGCCAGGGGTCCAGCCAGGAGGGCTGGGTGCTGAGGGAGGCGCCAGGGGTCCCCCAGGAGCGGGGTGCTGAGGGAGTTGCCAGGTGGTCCCTCAGGAGCGGAGTGCTGAGGGAGGGCGGGTGCTAACGGAGGTGCTGGGTGCTGAGGGAGGCGCCAGGGGTCCCCCAGGAGCGGGGTGCTGAGGGAGGTGCCAGGCAGGGCGGGAGGGACCGGTGTGGCTGCGTGTGGACAGAGCCAGTGGCCGCGCTGCTGCTGTCCTGGCGTTCCTATTGGCAGCCACGCCCACCCAGCCCTCCGCCATCCCGGCCTCCGCTCAGCACAGCGGAGGCGGCAGCAGAGTGCGGGCGCAGCGGCCTCTGCTTCTGGGTTCCGGTGCCCCTGAGAGCGAAGGGCGGCCCACAGCTTAGACAGCACAGCCTCGCCTCCTGGGCACCAGAGCGGCCTGCAGCCTGGAGGGAGGGGACAGCCTGGCCAGGAGCGAGCCCTGGAACCACCGGGAAGATGCCAAGGGGTGTCTGACTCCCGAGGCAAACCGGAGCCAGGGCGGCCACAGACACCCCGATGGAGCTGCAGGAGCCGGGAGCCCGGAGCCCGGAGCCGGGAGCCCGGAGCCCGGAGCCGGGAGCCCGGAGCCCACAGCCCGGAGCTGGGAGCCCGGAGCCCGGAGCCCAGAGCCCGGAGCCCGGAGCCCGGAGCCGGGAGCCGGGAGCCCGGAGCCGGGAGCCCGGAGCCCGGAGCCCGGAGCCGGGAGCCAGGAGCCCGGAGCCCGGAGCCCAGAGCCGGGAGCCAGGAGCCCGGAGCCCAGAGCCCGGAGCCCACAGCCCGGAGCTGGGAGCCCGGAGCCCGGAGCCCAGAGCCCGGAGCCCGGAGCCCGGAGCCGGGAGCCGGGAGCCCGGAGCCGGGAGCCCGGAGCCCGGAGCCCAGAGCCCACAGCCTGGAGCCCGGAGCCCGGAGCCCACAGCCCGGAGCCCGGAGCCCGGAGCCCGGAGCCCGGAGCCCGGAGCCCACAGCCCGGAGCCCACAGCCCGGAGCCCAGAGCCCGGAGCCCACAGCCCGGAGCCCGGAGCCCAGAGCCCACAGCCCGGAGCCCGGAGCCCGGAGCCCGGAGCCAGGAGCCCGGAGCCAGGAGCCGGGAGCCCGGAGCCAGGAGCCCGGAGCCCGGAGCCCGGAGCCTGGAGCCCGGAGCTAGGAGCCGGGAGCCGGGAGCCCAGACCCGGGGCTGAGAGCCCAGAGCCCGGAGCCCTGAGCAGAGAGCGGGGGAGGTGGGGGGGATGGGAGCCCCGGCAGGCAGGGCCGAAGGCTGCGGAGTGGCTGTGCCCTGTCATGGGGGGGGGGGGGGCGGGCAACGAAATGCTTTCTGTCCCCGAGGAAGCAGGGACGCACAGAGAGGCCGGAGGGACCCCACAGCTGGGCTGGGCACAGGCCGGGCCCTGCACGGCTGCGGCTCAGGGCCGGCCCGGGGCGGCCAGGCCAGGGCTGCACCAGGGGTGCCGGTGTGAGAGGTGGCGGCCAGCATTGGGCATCCCTCCCCACTCCTTACATCCCGAGAAAAGCGGGAGCAGGCACCCAGAGCCACGACGGCCTCTGCTCTGCCGGGCACTGCTCCTGACACTTGTATTTTGGCGACAAAATAAACCATTAAAGTCCCTGCCTTGGGGAGGGATGTTCCAGTGCAGGGGGACAGACTAAAGCAAACAGACCAGTGAGCCGGGAGGCGACAGGGCCGGGAGAGGGGGATGAAGCGTGGCCCAGCGGAGCTGAGAGAGGCCGGGACACACACACACACACACACACACACACACGCTGTGAAGAATGTGGCAGCAGAGCCCGGCCACGTGGCTCAGTGGTTGACCTATGAACCAGGAGGTCAGGGTTCAATTCCCAGTCAGGGCACAGGCCTGGGTTTCGTGTTAAATCCCCAGTGTGAGGCGTGCAGGGAACAGCCGATCAGTGATTCTCTCTCATCACTGATGTCTCTCTCTCCCTCTCCCTTCCCCTCTGACATCAATACAAATATTTTAAAAGAATGTGGCAGTGGAGGAGAAAGCCCTGGAGGCAGTGAGAGAAAGAGCTGACCATGGAGACGGCGACTGTTGAACGTTCCAGGCAGGGGAGCAGCAGGTACAACTGAGGCAGGGGCATGCCAAGCAGGTTCCAAGTGCATCAAAGAGGCCTGAGTGCTGGGGGGGAGGGTGGGGGGGGGGGCCGCCAGGGAGGGACAGGAGCCAGCTCACAGGTGCTGGTGGCATAGGGGAGTGGTTCTCGGAGAGGAGCGGACACAGCGAAGGGCGCCCTGCTTGGCAGGTGCGAAGAGCAGGGGGAGGAGATGCTGAGGCAGCAGGAGATGTGAGGCAGCGGCTGCAGGGCCCCAGCAGGAGCGGCCATCGGAGGAGGCAGTGCAAGGAGCCATGCCGAGAGACCGTGGGGTCAGGAGAGTGTGAGAGGAGGCCTGGGGCGTGGCCCACGGGGGGCAGGTGACTCAGCGGGGTGGGGAGCCTGTGGATCTGGGGTTTTGAAGGCTGTCGTCAAAGGAAAGTCTCTCGGGAACAGGAAGTACCGAAGGAAAGCACCAGGTGGGGAATCACGGGTCTGGAGGCCTCCCGCGTGGGGCCTGCAGACCCGCTCAGCCCTCCCTCCTTTCCTTCCCAGCTGCCCCTTACTGACAGTACTCACGGGGTCTCCCTTTCACACCCGACACTTTATGATAAAAACATCTGTTACTCCTCACCCGAGGATGTTTTCCCATGGACTTTAGAGTGGAAGGGAGAGGGAGAGACCGAGAGAAACACCGATGTGAGAGAGACACACTGATCAGTTACCTCCTGCACGAACCCTGACCAGGGCCCGGGCCGGGGAGGAGCCTGCAACCGAGGTACCTGCCCTTGACCGGAATCAATCCCAGGACCCTTCAGTTCTTAGGCCAACGCTCTACCCACTGAGCTGCAGCGGCCAGGGCTGTTATGAGGTATCTGATGCACAGCAGTGCATAGAACAGCCTGGCGAGCATCCTGTGCTCCGCTCACCTCTGGAGAGGAGAGCGCGGCCACGGGGCCCCTCGTGTGGTCCAGAGTGGCCCCTCCCCGCCCTCTGAGGGCTCTTGTCCCGAAGCTGCTGTCGCCTCCCTGTGCTGTCGCCTCCCTGTGCATGTTTTTAAATGATTGTTTCATGTTTTCCCCATAACGTGAAACATGTGTGTGTGCATGTGCAGATATCATTGTTTTATATGTTTTCAAACTTTACATAAATGACATTAGGTTCTCTAATCACAGTTAGGACACTAATCTACCTGGAATTCATTTTTGTACGTTATAAGAGAAATTGCAAAACTCTGAAAAATGAATAACACTGAAAACATAACATATAAAAAAAAAATTTAAAAAAAGTGGATTCCCCAGCCAGTGTGGCTCAGTTGGTTGAATGATTCTTCCAAGATGGCTGATTCGATTCCCGGTCAGGGCACATGCCCAGGTTGGA